CTGAATGGTGAAAGAGAATTTCAACAGAAGTGAAAATTCTTTCTCACCCATTAAGGCGTGTCTGTTAGTACTTTATTGCGAGCTTTTTTTTTTTGTTTTTTTGTTTTTGTAAGTAAAAACAGTGTACTGTAAGTCCTTAAGTAACGTAATGTGTATATTGTACTGTATTGTACTGTAATTACTGTGTATTGTAAGTCGTTAGGCAACGTAATGTGCCAGTAGGTTATGCCATATTAAGTAATTAATGCATATTGTAAGTAAGCAAGTAATGTAATGCGAAGTATTGTAAGCAGGTTTTTGAATGTATTGTAAGTGATATTTGTAAGTTAGTAAAAGCATTAAAAAAAGTATATTCCAGTTTCGGAAAACTTTTCTTGCATATTGCATCTGTTGTTAGAATTACTCTATCAGAATCTAAATTTGCAAATTTCACTTCGCTTTTTAGTAATTAGCAATTTGATGTAAAACACATCAAAACTGAGGGTAAAGATAGTAAAATTCCTTGCCTTTCGTTTTCGTTGAAACTACGTTTTCTTCTAATAAAATTCTTATAAAAAAGATTGATATTTTTAGCCCGTAAAAAATAATCTTCCACATTTTGTTTGGTCAAAATCCATATAATTTTGTGATTTTATTTTACAGGGGAAGGTTAAGGCCCTGTTCACACTACGCAGGACCGTAATTGTTATCGAGAATGGTGCAACCTATCGCTTCAGAGTCCATTCTCGTCCCCAGAGCCTCCGTTTCTTTTGGTCACGTGGTCGGAGACATTTTAAGACGAGTAGCACTGGGGACGAGAATGTTCAGAGTCATGCTGCTTAAACCCTTGAAAATGTTAAATAAAATCCACCATTTTTAAACAAAACAAACTCCACCCAGCATGCCTGTGTTGTAGAGCACGTGACCTCGAATTCTGGAACGCGGTCAGACGCCTTGCATTCGAACAGCAAAGATTCAGAAAAGTTGAACTGGTGATTTTTGATCAATGGTAAGCGCCCGTAGTACCATGTGATTCCGAATGAGTTGTAATTTAGTGGAAACATTAGTTGCAAATTCAGGCCATCAGCGAATGACAAGCATGTGTGG